AACATTTATCCAAAAATAAGTTAAAAATGTACAAGAAGAGAACAAGTATTTATCCAAAAATATATAAGCATGTGTGTGGTGGTGGGTCACTTGTTTGTAGGACAGAGTTTCACTCAGGTGCACAGGCTAGCCTCGAGCTCTCTTCTCTTTTTTTTTTTTTTTTAATTTTTTTTATTGTGTGTGTGTGTGTGTGTGTGTGGCCAGCTCAGCCCACCAGGGGGCGAGGCTGGCTGGCATGCGGTCCTTGTGCTTTGCCAAGCTTGTTTCAAGTAGGTGCTTTAGACCACTGAGCCATCTCTCCAGCCCCTTCTAGCTTAAATTTTAAAAGGAAAAATCATTTCAGAATTGTCCATTTGAAATTATATATGAAAAGATACGTTTTTTCCTTTTTTAGATTTATCATCCATCATGTTATGAAGATTATCAAAACGTAAGTTCTTTGGTTACTGTATTTCTCGTTTATAGCATCTTTAGTTATTCTGACACCAGAACCATATTTTATTCATTATAGAGCTGTGTTTTGATATGGCAGGTAGGTTACTAAATACTGGTGTTAGATAGGATACATAATCTGTCATCCCTTGTGTTGTACAATTTAAATTTTGCAGTACTTTTGTCATTTCTAGCCTCTGTTCACTTAAATTTTTTTTTTTTTTTTAACACTAGAATAGTAGACCTAGAGAAATGGGGAAAACAAGTATGGTAGGAATAGGTTTAAAACTATGAGAAATGTATTATAAAATTTTGCCTTTTCTCATTTAGCCATCTAGTAGAGTATTTCTTAAATGATCACATATAAAATTTGAGGACATCAGTCTTGTGGCCTTAGAACTTTAAATTGTTGCTTGGTATGATGCTTCACACCAGTGATCCTAGTTAGACAGGGGGGCTAAGGCAGGATAGTTGAATTTGAGGCCAGCCTAGGCAACTTAATTTTTCAAAATACGGCTAGGTTTGTAGTTGAGCATTTTATGGGTTCTATCCCCAGTACTAGAAAAGGAAAACAAGTCTTTTTATATTTGTAGTTGAAGTGTTTTTTTTTTTTTAAAACCAGTGGAACACATTTGCCAATGAAACTGGGTTTGAGAGGTACTTTGGGAAGTTTTTCTAGGTCATCCAAAGGATTTAGCATTTCCTATGATGGTTTGTGGAGATTTTACAAAAGTCGTCATGTAATCAAAATTGTGGCAGTCAGAAAAAATCTCAAAATATTAAGTGTTACTATTTCTGTAGGGTTTAAATATAAAAACATTTCCAATCAACTTCGTTTGGGCTCTATACTTGTAGTAACAACTGTTAGATTTGTGGATACTGAATTTTGAGCAGTGCATATTTTACTATTTGACTGCCTTTATCATGTCTTGTGAGAAAGCATGTATTTTAAGTGCATTTGGCATGTGTCCTTTTCCTGAGACAAGGGTCATAGAAAACTACATGTCTTTTTGGGTGGTAACTTAGAACTTTCATCAGTATTTATAGACATTTTCATTTTGTAGACATCTTCATTTGAGTGTACACCATCTCCCAGCAAGACACCGGTTGAAAATCCTTTGAACATTATGTTGAACATTGTTAAGAACGAGTTGCAGGAACCCTGTGAAAGTCCCAAAGTTAAGGAAGAACAAATTGATACCCCACCAGCTTGTACAGAGGAAAGCATAACATCGACTGAAATTAAAACAGAAAATGATACAGTTGAGTCAGTTTAAATAAAATGAGAAAGGTTTTTTTTTAAACTAAGCTGCTGTTGGATGTAGAGGGTGAAGCATTTTTTATGTATATATAGACATATATCTATAAATTGTCTAGCTGAGGCAGGGCCTTCAGCTATAATTTGGATAATAAATACATTTTAGTATTTGCATTTCCTACTGCCTGCACAGTTTCAGGTGCTTGTTGTGTGAAAGTTCTGTAGATGTGTGCAAATTTAATGAAATGAAATTGTATGTGTAAAAATGTACGATTTTCACTTGTCATACTGTAAATTATAAAATAAAAATATTTTTGCTATACATGGAGTGTAATATTTATGCACACCATCAAATAAAGACAGTGTTTCTGTACTTTTTATTGGGTGAAAATGGAACTGAACAGCCTCAACATAAAATTTTTTTCTACTTAGTAGCTTTCCATGATTAAAGAAGCAATGTACGAAGTTAGTTTTATCCTTCAAGAAGTGATGGTAGAGAACAATGCAGGACTTTTCTAACAGAAAAGCCAAATTTAAAAAATTTAACAGGACATTTTTGCATACACATATATAGATATGTATCTTCAGCTATAGAGAACCACCTAGATGTCTGTTTTTGCAAAGTACCTAATGAAGCAACTTTTATTCTTGAACTTGGACACTGCTGCCATCAATTAACAAATATATTTAAGTACTAAAGGTGATTTTTTTTTAAAAGATATTTTTCAAGTTGTCGGGTGATTTAATGCAGATGAGCATTTTCTATTTTAAGTTACAGGGAATCTGTAAGAATGTTCACTCGAAACATGGTTAACCTCTTTTCCTTTGTTGGTTTTGATTTGATTAGATGGATACCATGAGATGTTAATACTCATACATGTAATAAATAGAATGATGAAGAAACTTGCAGTTTGTATGTCTATTTCTTGAGTGACTTTGCTTTTTTCCTTCATCTGTTTTTACAAACATGAGTGTGGTACCTGTTATGACATAACCAGGCCCATCATGTAGTGGAGTAAAGCAGCCATACTCTACTGAATGCTCACTATGTTGTGCCAGGCACAAGCAAGCTAAGTGTATTTTCCCCAGTACTTAAATTGATGTTCCATGATGTATGCAAAACATGAAGACAGATATAGGCATAACCAAACTATGGTGATGTGTTAAGAAGACATCACAGAGGTGATACCTGAGTCGCTATAGCTCTAGAATGAGTTCACCATGACAGAAAGGATATTTGGAGAATTAAAGCAAAGGGAAAGGTCTGAAACATTTTGAACAAATGACATTTTTCTGCACTGAAGTTTTTTCCGCCGGGTGTGGTGGCGCACACCTGTAATCCCAGCACTTGGGAGGCTGAGGCAGGAGGATCACTCGAGTCTAAGCCAGCCTGGGCTACATGGTGAAACCCTGTCTCAAAAAAATTCCCCCAAGGATAAAACTTTAAGATTATTAAATGTTGGGGAATGGCCTAGTAATAAAATTAGTAAATCTTTACTGAAGTTGAGACTATACATGAACACTGCACTAAAAAAAGAATATGAATCAAATAGATAAAATTTCTTATTGGATATTTTTCTGGGGAAAAGAACCATAACTTTTACTAAACACCAATGTACCAAGTGTCCAAACAGGAAAAAGAGTTAAGTACCTGCCCTAGGGAATACACAGTCTGGGAAGGTGAGAGAGACCTAAAGAATTTTTTTTTTCATAAATAGAAAAACTAGCGATGAAAAAAAAAAAGGCTAGTCAACAGTTATGTTAAAAATATATATGGCAAGCTTAAGAAACACTCCCTAATGACCCAAGCAGTTCAATACAGGTGCCAAGGGCAGATGCAGTGGGGATAAGTAATGAAACAAGATACTCTTAAATTTAACCAAGACTGAAGAATCTTGGTGAAGAGACATTGAAGGTTGGGATGAGATGGTATCCAAATTATATGAGGAATTAGCTTTGGAATGGAGGGACAGTACTTCTCAGAGGATAGCTGGTATTTACAATTGGATTAAGACGGTCAACTGGGGCCAGCCAGCCAGCTCCACGGATTAAAGGACCTGCTCAGGCAGAACACAGACGGGTTTGATCCCTGGCAGCACAAGCTGTGCCGGCCCTGCCCCCAGGGTGTGCTGAGACAGCAATTGAGACTGTGTGGCTGCATGCCTATAATCTCCACACTTGGGAGGCTGAAAATGGGAGGTTCACTATGAGCCCAATCTACATAATGAGACCCTGTACTAACTACACTAGAAAAGTCCAACTTTTTCCTCTTTGAGGTTGGATGTTAGAGGATAGCTGGTATTTACAGTTGGATATGGGTTAATTAGAGCCACATATAGTAAGTATAGAAATTTCTTATCTGTAGAGGGTCTCATTTAGCTCATTCTTCAAAGCAACCTCCAATTTTAAGAAGCTCCACAGAATCAACCTACAAATCAACATTAGATTTTAGCCCCTAAAGTATGGAAAGTAAAAACACACAACTGGGCACTAGAACTAGTTATCAGTGTAGAACGTGCAGCAATGAAGGCTACAGGAAACCAAGATGGAACATTATCTTTTAAATTGGGAGGTAATGTTTATGAGAATAGAATGTAGGAATTCTGTTAAATTTATACTTGGTATGTGCTGGACTTAATGTGATTTGTTTTTTAAACTTACACTTTGAAAAATACAAAGCAATCTAAGCTTTGGGAAGAAAAAAAGTATTTGCTCAAAAACTTCATGTAACAGCACACCCTAAAAAAGAAAATTTTACATTCTCGTTATGTATCTTAGTATTGAAAAGTGTTATAAAGGAGGTTCATAAAGAATATGTAGGAAAACCTGTTCTTTTTTGCTTGTTACTGGGGAATCCAGGCACATACTTAAGCCACTGAGCTATCTCTCCAGCCCAAGAAAATTTAGGGAAATCTTAAGGCACTTAAAAGTACCTAGAAGTGGAAAGATGTAGCTGACCAAAGAGGCAAACAAAACAGAAAAAGGCTTCTTCAGTAAGCTGGAAGTTCTTTCCTAACCCCAATTAGGGTAAGTTCCCTGGAAACGAGCACTTCTTTTTGCGGTTAAGGAAGAATAAGCTATATATGAAACAAAAGCACCCATGGGCTACTCCAGGATTTGGAGGTAGGCCTTAAAGAGCAAGGATGCCATAGAAGACAGAATACCTGGGCAGAGCTGGGTGGTGTGCACCTGTAGCTCTACTTGAAAGGCAGTTTGAGGGCAGCATCAGCAACATCCTCAAAAACTTACCACCTCATTTTTGAAAAATAGGTTGGGGGAGCACTAGCTATTTTTACTCATTGAAATTATAACCTCCTTTTACTCAAATGGTTCCTAGTCTTTGGAATTCTGCATTTTGAGAAGCTTCTTTTATAGTCACTTACCTTAACATCCTGTGCAGCATGGTTTTTGCATATTTTTTTTTTTTTTTTTTTTTTGTGGAACTGGGGATTGAACTCAGGCCCTTGTGCACTGAGCCATTTCCTCGGCCCCATTTTTGCATCTTGACCATTTTGTTAAAACTGTTCTAAGTATATTAATGACTGCCCAAATCAATGTGTTTTTCTTTCTTTGCAGTACTGGAGATTGAACTCAGGAACCTGTGCTTGCTAGGCAGGCACTTATGCCACTGAGCAATCTCCATGGCCCTTTTTTAAGTCTTTTGATCTTTTCTAGTCCTGTTTCCTAAATATACCTTTTTTGCTTTGTGTGATGGTACATTTCTCTTCTACATCTTTAGTAAGGATCAAAGAAAACTGAATGAACAACACAAATATGAAAAAGATGAAGTCTTTCACATCCTGTTATAGATCCTTTTTCTTTTTTTGGCGGAACCGGAGATTGAACTCAGGCTGTTGTGCCTGACAGGAAAGCGCTTATTCTACTGAGCCATCTCCCTGGCCCCTATTATCCTTTCCAAACATTATTTTACAAAATAACTTAAAAAATTAATCATGTGTATTGTTTTGTACTGTTTTCACTACAATCTTGTAAATTTTCCATATTAGTGCCAAAAGAATTGTATTTCTACCAGTTTGTAATACTTTGTATTATAAATGTAATTTTACTTAGGAAAACTTATGAATGCTTAAGATTTTAAAAAATCAATTACAAAGTTATTGTGACTACCACGGTACACATATCTGCAGATTACTTTCAAGCCTTTACAACCAGATACGTGCAGGTTCACAGATAATATATACTGAAAAATTTGGCTAAGGTAGTTTGCAAACTATCTTTTATGTTTCGATGATTTCTGAGAAGGATATCCTACTTTAGGATATTCTTTCATGATTATCAGTTTATTAAGATGCAACTCCTGAGCCAAATTTTGAAAAAAAATTAAAAAAAAATATTTTAGTGGGGCAGGGGAGATGGCTCAGTGGAATAAGTGCTTCCCTGGCAAGTGCAAGGGCCTGAGTTCAATCCCCAATTCTAAAAAAAAAAAAAAAATTTAGTACAGGGTCTCACTACATAGATCAGACTTGTAGTGATCCTCCTGTTTTCAGCCTCCCAAGCACTGGGATCACAGGTGTGCACCACCACGCCCAGTCTCAAGTCACCTCAGCATGTCCTGGAGGTGGGGCTGGCACTGCAATGCATGCTGAGGATTGAACCCTGGCCTCTGCACCTGCCTAAGCAGGCATTTTAGTTCACTATCTGGCCAGCCCTATTTTTCTGAAAACTCTCCAAGTAGATTTTCAAGGTTATTAGTAAAAGGCTACATAATTCATTTTTGGTTTACTGAGTCTCTGCATCTATAGTAAGTTCCATTTGTTTCCAGTATTTTTTTTTTCCCTGTTTCCTTGGATTTGTTAAGTGTCTGTTGTTCTTTTCAAATACCAGATATTATGATCAATGTTACTGTGTACCAAATTAATTTTTGCTTTTATTTTTAAGTTTATTTTGGAAATGGGAAATTTAATTTTACCCCTTTTTCTGGTACTTTTTTGTTTCCTCTGATCTTTCCTGCCACGTTGCCTCATGGTTTTCAAGTGTTACTTCACTCCCTCAGTAAGTTCACCTACTCTATATAGCAAAAATACCTTGACTATTATGTAAGTGACACAAACACAGCATTAATTTGAAGCCAGTCATGGAAGGTTCCAACTCCCCACCTCCTACTTATGTGATCTTGCTCAAATATGAACTGTTCATCTGTAAAAATAAAAAACAGTAAAGATTAAGTTTGAAAGTATATGAAAATCATTTATCATAGAAACTAGCCTAGTTTTATATAACTCAATGATACCATCAATGCTTGAATTGCCCCATTTTGAAAAATGAGCTTGGAATGAGTAATCCTGAATTCCCTTCCAACCGTTAAAATTCTTTTCAAGCTCATAATCGCTATTAAACGCTTCCCTTGCAGTAAATATTGTAGATATCAAAAATGCCAAAATGACTAAATCAGAGCACCTACCTTCCAGAAGCTCCAAATCCTTAGGGGTCAGGGGATGAGACTCAATTATTTCATCTTTTTTTTTTTTTTTTGTACCAGGAATGGAATTCACAACCTTGATCTTGCCAGGCAGGCACTTAGGTCACTGAGCTATCTCCCCAGCCCTTCAATTGTTAAATAGACAACTACAATACAGTGTGATAACTGTTGCAAAACCAAGGAGATCTAGGTTGGAATTCAGATTCAGTACTTATTACTTACTAGATGCATAACTCCACTTACACTCTTAACTGTTATGGTTTTTTTCCTCCTACCTGTAAAAAGGAACAATACCTATTCTGAAGGTGACAGTAAAAATTATATTTAGAAATTAATATAGAGCACTTAGTGCTAGAACTGATCTTATAAACTCAATAAATGGCAGATGTAAAAGGTTAGAGTAAAGAAAGGCAACTTATCTCAATAGAAAAGGGGAAGAGTCTGGAAATTCCTAATATATTCACAGAACAAAATGGGAATGGGGCTGTTCCTGGGAGGGAGGGGACACGCGACGGGACAGTGACATGTAAAGTGTGTATATGCAGGGGAGGAAGGGAAGGAAAAAAGGGCTGTGGGGGAAGCCGGGTGGATGACGGCCCGGAGGACACGATCCCTGCTACCCGCCGTATATCCAGCTGCTAGCACAAAACGTGACACATATTTGTACCAGTCAGCTGTAAGACTGTTACATGGCTGGGCCAGGGGCAAAGGATCTGGGCCGAACTTTTGAAAGTAAAAATGTTAGTGAGGAAATCTTGGTCTTGAAGTCCGTAGACCTGACAGTCTTTTGACTAATAATTTGTGTTTTTAATCTCGTTTTACAACTTACCTGACGTTTGGCCTTAGCAAATTACTGACATCTTGAGTGTTGAGCCGTAAAACGGGCTAAGCCCTGAGGCGATTATCGGAGAGCCCGGTCCTGGCGGCCACTCAGAACGATGGAGGGTGCATCTGGTAACTTCTCTTTCAGGTCAAATGACAGAGCGAGAACAGGGATTTTCTTCCAAACATCAGTGAAAAAAATATACCAGGTTTGTCAAGGACGAAAAGGCCCCGCCCGGCCCCCGCCACGCAGGTCACCTACGCAGACCACAGTCCTGGGGCCTCCACTGAGTCGCTGGTCGAGCGGGAGAGGTCGGCGACGGGAGGTCCCCAACAAGGCCTGGACAGGGTCCTGTGGGACGGAGCGAAATCTCACAGGAACCCGGTCCCGGGCACAGCCCCACAGCACTAGGGGAGAAGCCTAGAAAAAGGTGAAAAGGAGGAAGCCGGAAGTGACGTCAGCCGCAAGGACCGGAAATGACCGAAGGACGCGGGAAGTTTATTCGTTTCCAAGGTGACGGGGTACTCGCCGACCGCGGCACCGCCTCCGCGCCCCGTGAGCAGGCAGCAGCAGTACCCTAAGCCGGCGGCCGCCACGCTGGCCACGCCGTGCGGGGTACTGGGGCAGTGCGAGAACTGGGACAGGCTAAGGAAGACCCGCGTTGTTTC